GGGCGGGAGTCGGGGCGGGGGCGGGCGCGCTCAGCGCGGACCAACTATCCGTGAACCGGGAGATGATATCGCGGGCCGTCCTTGCCGCGCCACGCATACCAACCCAACGTAATGCGGCGGTGTGGCGGGGCGTGGCGGCCCGGCCCGGGCGGCCCATTGTGTTTGGGGACTCACACGGGCACGGCCAGGGCACGGCCAGGGCCAGGACGCGGTCCCTTCCCAGGGCCGGTCCCCCTGCCATCGTATCGGGCTGCATCGGCTGCTCGCTGCCAATCTTCTCGTGTGTATTATTGCGAGGAGTTTGTCCGCGTTATTCGGAGAGTGCAATGGGCCGGCTGTATGGTGCGGCCGGGTCGAGGGGGTCGGGGTCCGGCGGGGCCTCGGCCTGCTCGGCCCGCGATACAGCAGACAAATTGCGTCTGTGTGCGTGCGAGTGTGTGAGTAAGCGAGTGTGAGAGTGTGTGTTGGTGTGAGCTCGCGCGCGCGCCCTGGTGGAACAGGCCCCAGACTGTTTGGCCCGACGGAACGCCAACGCGGCACCACACACACACACTCACTCACACATTCACACAAACACAAACGCGGCCCAGCTGCAGCAGCGCCACGCAGCGGCCCGGAACAAAACATGCGGCCGAACTTACTAAGAGAGGCCAGCCAGAGTGTGTGAGAGAGAGAGAAAGGGCGCTAGAGCAAGAGCGCGGTAGGGCCGGGGTAGCGCTCGAGAGGCCGGCATGCCCAACACCAAGGGCACCTGTTGGGCCAGTCGGACCGGCTGCACCCTGCTAGCGCTTAGCCTAGCGCAGCCGCGGCGCTTTCCTTTTCACCCGCCACCGCTGCCGCTGCTACCCTGGTGCGTCCTGGCCGTCGTCATGAACCTCCTCCTCCACAGGGAGGGTCCGACCCCAAAAGCACCCTCTCTGCCCCGCAGGTCGTGCCGGCCGCGCCGCGAGCGGGATCATCCCGAAGGGTCGCGCTTGGGCCTATGCTCAGCACCGACCATAAGAAACTGTCGTAGTCGGCGACACCCCACATGTGTGTGTGCGTGTGTGTGTGTTTGTTCGCGATACTCCGGCACATATAACGTGTGAAGTTACAGACCGGAACTGCTGGGCGGCGTGAGGCCGCGAGGGCTTATCGACCCCGACACCAGGCGTGCTCAGCTGAGCGCCGATATATACCACAAACACTTGCACAAATACACACACACATGCGCGCACACACACTCACACACACCTGGCTCACAACGGGGGCCCCTGTGTCTGTTTAAAGGGCCCGGTTAAAAAGGCGCGGCGAGCCCGGATGGAGCCGAGCCGAGCAGCGCGCCGCGCGGCCCACGTCCACCACGAACGACGACGCGACGACGCCTTTGGCAACAACGGCGCGCTGTCGCCACGCCCGTGTCGACAGAGGCCCTGCTGCTGCTCTTCTCTCGCGTTAGGGCCCAAGCGCAGCGCGCATCACCGCCCCCTCCTCCCTCCCCCTCCTTTTCCCCGACGGGTTGAACGGCCTGCGCCGCTCGCATGCTAATGCCATTGTTTGCGTCCGCACTGATAACGATTCTAGGCTGCAGTCAGCTGCCGCCGCGGCGGGCCGCGCTCGCGAGAGAGGGCCGGCGCGTAAAGCACACACGTCGCCGAAGAAGAAAAATTTAAAAAATAGGACGACAAGGACACACGAAAAAATTCGTCGTGGAAAAGGCGGCAATAATAAGCTTTTCCTCGCTATCAGCCGAGCGCTTCCCGGGGGGGGGGGGTAGGTGACCCCTCGCGGGGCAGCAACCTGATATCACACACATCACGGCCAGGGTGGTGGGCAGCAGCAGAGCGGCTCTAATCGCCGCGCGATGTGATAATGCCAAAACATTGCCATAGGTCACTTATATCAGCGGCGCTATAAATAGTGCTGTGCAAACACGGCGCGGCGGGGCGAGGGGGGGGGGCAATTATCAGGCCCGGCTGCAGTGAGAACGTCCAAAACAACACATACACGCACACACACACACGGCGGGTCAGCAGCGCGGGTCAACACACATTTACATGTCGTGCCATAAACATTCAAAGATATCGGGGGCGGGGCGCGAAGCGGCGGTTGGCAGCGACGATGATACCCTACGACGGTTCGGCCACGTCACGTCGCGTCCCGTCACGTCCGTCACACTTTTCGTCACGACTCGTCGCGCCTTCGCCGTGCCGTGCGTCCCGCCGCGTGAAAGCCTCCCCCTGCCGTACCGGCTTGGCGCGGCTCTGAGGCGAGCTAACGACCAAGCGCCAGTAAGTCAGTCAACAGAGTTGCGCCCCGGTTGGCAACACCGCCCGTCCCGTCCCGTCTGCCGACGACCCGCCGGCCTCCCGGCCGCAAGCGAGCAGCGATGGGGAAGAAAAGAAGAAGATAAAAGAGTGAACAAACCGAACGGGTTGCGAACGCCGCCGTCGGGCCGCAGCCGCCATCACTGCAAACACGGCCGTGTTACACACTTTAGCGCGAGGTTTTTTTCAGAAAAGTCAGTTCTTGTCGCAATCTTTTTAGCGAGTTGTTTTCGACACCCGAGTGAGTTGAGTTTTTAAAAACAAATCGGCGCATCTATTAAACACGCACTTTCAGTAACCCTGATCAGTGCGATTTGGAGTGGTGGTTGTTGTGTGTGGTGGCGGGCAAGTATTGAACACGGACAGCCTTCTTACAGTCCACACAAGCCGCGCCGCGGCTCGCGTCGGTGAACGCCAAACACAAATCGAGGTCAGGGCGAGCGAAAAATTATCCGAGTCACACCGATAAGACACAACATGCTCAACATAAAAATAAAAATTGTTACGACGCGCGCCGGGGGGGAATGTGTAGGAACAAGAGATAAAAGGAGCGCGGTAGTTGTGCGAGGTTCGGGGCGCTGGCGCTGGCGCTCGCTGTCACACACCAGGTGCGTCGCGCGCGGCGGCGCCTCCTGCCCGTCAACGCGACACGAAACGGCCTCCCGCGCGACGCCGCGGCGCAGCGCAGCACGACGGCCAGGATAATCCGGGCTAACTTTAGAAACGGCTCTGCCAGTGCTTGTCCTGCCGCGCAGGTTATCGCGGGACGGGGCGGGGAGGGGAGGGGAGGGGCTGTTGGCGCTGCAGCCTGTCGCGCACGATATGAGGAGGCAACGCCCGGCCCTGGCGCTGCACATACGCCCCGCCCCGCCCCGCCCCGCGGTTTCCTGTCCAGTCGGCTCGCAGCCGCGCGGCGCCCAAATTAAAATGCCAAACACGCCATACTCGTCGACGCACACCTCTCTACCCATATGAGCCCCCCCCCCCCCCCCTACCGGGCGCCGTCACAAACTGCACTTGGCGTGCACAGCGGACTGGAAGAGATTATGATTAATATCGAAAGCGCACACTATGAATGTGCAGTCATTTGACTGATTCCGGACAGACGGTAGGTATGTATTCACCCCCCCCCTTCCCACCTCACTGTGCCCTGCTATCGGAGGCCGAACGTTTTCCTGGTTGTACTGGGGGGAGGGGGTGCCTACAGGCGTCTCACGGCCCCGTACGAATAGGCAACCCATCTGCATGCGGTACAGTACAAGCAGAAACTAAGTCCGGCGTAGAACACCTATCCTGGTGCTGGGGGTATACGTATACTACGGAGAGCACGCAAAGGAGAGAGCGCCCCCGCCCCACTTCCTCCCCCACTTCCCGACTTCCGCAGTCAAATTCGCTTCCTTCCGGCGCGGCTGCCCCGTGGCCGAGCCCGTGGCCGTGCGTGCGGACGACGCTGCCGGCCCATCTGCGCTCCATCTGCCCCCCGCGGCCGCGCCCGCAGGTGGGCCGGCGCCAGCTGGTCGCGAGAGACAAAGGTCTCGTTTAAAGGGCCGAATGCGAGATTCACGCACGCACACCTGGCGGGTGCCGCTGGCAGGTGCGGCGCCGCGGGCTGCGGCATCAGCCTCGGCGGCAGCAGGTGCAGGCTGGTGTGGTGTCGGGACACCCGCGCCCCCGATCCTCCAGCAGGACATCCAGGCCGTGCGGTGGCCGTGGGGGGGACCAACACGCGGCGGCGTTGCCAAGTCAGGGGCCTAAAGCGCCACGCCGAGCCGAGCGGCAGGCCGCAGGACGCGAGTGGCGAGGCGGAGGGAGAGCGGCGCGGGGAGGAGAGAGAGAGAGAGAGAGAGAGAGAGAGAGAGAGAGAGAGAGAGAGAGGAGAGGGCGGGTGGCGGCGCTGTACCGCGAGTGGGCTGAGCACAGCCTGCACAGACAGCTGGGGTCGGCTGTGCTGCTTCGCACTCGGGCAGTTGGCCAGACTGACAGCGTCCGCCATCTTTTCGCCGCGGGAGAGGAAGCGAGCCGGCTGAGCGAGCGAGCGAGAGAGCGAGCAAGCAGGCGCGAGCGAGAGAGAGAGAAGAGGCGCAGAGCAGCGAGCGTGTCCTTCAGCGATGGTAAACAACAACACGGCCGTAAACACCGAACGGCCAACCATCCGGATCCTCTAGGCTCCGGAGGCAGGCTCCATGTGGGCTCCAGGAGAAGGCTCCAGTTGGGCTCCAGGAGCAGGCTCCATGTGGGCTCCAGGAGCAGGCTCCAGCCTTTGGTCTGTAGCTTTGGCCAGCAGACCGCGAGAGCTTTTCAAGACGAGGCGAGAGCGAGACCTTTGCAGTGGACACGACGACGACGCTCTCGACAGGATTTCTCGCGCTACTAGATGACTCGCTCCCGCGGATTGATCTGAATCACGCCAAGTTTGCCACAGCGG